GGTCCCGCCTGCCCCCCATACCTGGAAGACTCTGGGCAAGGAGCGAGGGGCTGGGGGTGCACCATCAACCCCTCATCCCTGAGGAGAGGGGGCTCAGGGGGGGGTCCCAGAGCCCCCCAGGGGGCAGGCGCAGACCCCATGGATGATGGTAAGGGTAAAATCACCCCAAGGGCAGATTTGGGTCTGGTTCCTTTCCCAAACTCTGCTTTTCCAGTGGTTTCTCCCCAAAACCAGACTCTGCCCAGCACACGAGAACGCATTAACCACACTTTTCGGGTTTAAGAGCCGGTTGGATGTGTAAGCGCCGGTGCATTTAAAAATCACCCATTCCCCCTCGCATGAGCGGCTGGGGCGGTTCCCACCCTGCCCGCAGCCGCTCCCACCCAAACCATGCGAAGGATTAATGTCTTTATTTCTTCTCCTTTCTTTTGGCCCCAAAACCAGGTCAAAGCCGAGCCGAAAAACCTCCCTGTGAGAAATCTGCGCTGGCGTATCCGAATTTCACGCCGAAGGAGGCGGTGGCTGCGCTGGGGGACGCTGCCAACCCCACGCTCAGGTACAGCAGGGCTGGAGGCTGCGCCCACGCAGCTGAAAAAGCACCACCTCCAGCAGAAAAAGCAGCTTTTCCAGGGGTGTTTTCTGCGCTCTGGCAGTTTTCATGGTCCGTTTCATCGCCCGTCATCTCTGGGGCCTGATGGAGAGAGGAGGACGGCAAAAAACTCTGCAGAATTCAAGGTTGGAGAAAGGAGGCCATAAAAAAATTCCTCCAAATCAGCAGGATGGGAGCATCCTCCAGAACCAATGGGATACAAACTTCAGGTGTTCCTCCTCAAATATCAGGTGTTCCTCCCCACACGGGGACAGGGACTCACTGCCAAGACCAAGTCACCTCTGAGACCTCACCCACATCCATGAGGACCCCAAAAACCATCTCCCCCTCGGCAGGGACCACTCACACCCAGCCTGGAAATGAAAGCTCTGGACCTCTCCATACCCAAAAAGCAAATCCAGTCCCTCTCTCCCCTTGCACCGAGATGGGAAGGAGCTCGAGGAACAGCTTTATGTGAAATGGGTTTCAGAGAAAGGCTGTTAACTACAGTTAACCTCGGGATGTGGTCCAGCTCCATCAGCCGCAGGGGCTGGCACCGGCCATGCTCCCCTGCCCGTTTTGGAGAGGGGAGAGAAGGAGCAGGGCCCTGGGGAGCATCTGCCACCCCCCAGCAGTGCTGACACAGATGGATGGAGGGGTCTTGTGCAGCTACAGCCAACACTGAGCACATTGCTGTGATGCACCAGTGTCCCCCCATCCCCTATCGGCACCCCAGGGCACGTTTTCTCCATCATTTCAGCTGCTGCAGGCCCAAATTTGGGGAAGGCTGCCCCTGCCATGCACGGGGTTCAGGTAACAGCAGGAGCACTGGCAGGGTTTTGGGAGAAAAGGACAGAGACAGCCAACCAAACGCATGTAATTCAAGTATTGCCCCTAAAAAGCTTCCCCCTAAAATCCTCCTAATGCTTCAACAGCTCCAAAAGCTGCAGAGCCACCCCATGCCCCCTCCTGGGGAGCTCTGGGGGTACAGAGTGAGCTCAAGGGGTACCCAGGGGATGGAACGGTGCAGCACAGCTCTCCTGACCCAGCGCAGAGCAGGGTTGTGCATTTTCACCCCACTCAAGCCCAGCAATTGGGCTCTGCACCCATTCCCAGTGCCTGGCCTGCACCAGTTTCCCCAGTTCTGCTCTCCCAATTGGCTGCTTTCCCTTCCCAAACCCAACCTGCACCTCTCCATCCCAGAAGGGGAAGGATGGAGTGAAAATGCTGTCTCTACCATCACAGTGGGGAGAAAACCGGCTGCTCCCAGGGGACACCCGCAGCTCCCCCATCCACACGCACCAGCCCACGCCATCGTCTCGGGGTCTCTTTTTGGAGAGAAGTTTGGCAGCGGATGCGTGCACCAGGCACTGCTCCTTGCTGGGACATGTTGGGCACTGGACCACGCTTGGCTCTCGGGAAGGTTTTCCTTTGCAGGATAAAGTGGGAAGATTCACATCTCCAGCACATGGACGGTCGAGATGCAGCAGGGCCGGGTGCGTGGATATTTGGGGTTCACCCGCTCTGGTACAGATGCTTTTTGCTCCCCACGTGCTGTGCGTTTCAGTCGAAGCATTTACTCACGGCTCCGCTGGTAACTCGGTGTGAGCTGGAGGGCTGCAGATCAAACCAGCTCCAATCTCACCAGGATATGCTGTTCCCCCTCCTGATAACCACTGCCCCGACAATGCAAAGGCAGTAGTGAGTAGCATCCTATGAGGTATTTCTACAGGCTTTGAAGCTTAGTTATTGGTTTCATCTGGAAGCCAAATCCTTTTTTAAAAACACACTTTTTTGCCAGGACCAAAACTGAGGCCAGAGGTGATGGTGAAGAAAGGGAGGGCAGGATTTTGGGATCTGTTAGCACCCATCGTAGCAATGCGAGAGGCAGGCAAACCTGAATTTTTCCAGGCTGCTTAAAGATCCACACGATCTAATTCAAGGGCACGGATCATTTTTGCAGGGTTAGACCAAAGTCCAACTTGTGGAGCACCGACCTCAGATCCAGAGCCCACATCATCGCGTTTTCAGACCACACCGGTGCAGGATGGAGTTTCCATCAGCCGGGTTGAAAGCAGAGGAACGCTTGCTCAGTTAAATACAGGAGGAAAGTTGCTTCTCCAGACTTTTCCACATCGCTTCGGGCAAACTTTAAATTCCACCGTGAAGTGCAAACTCTTCAGTTGCTGCAGCAGATGAAGGAGCAGAGCAGCACTGGAAGGGGCGGGGGTGTACAGCAGCCAGTGCCAAGCCCAGAAACGCAGCAGGAGCCACCACCTCTCCTGGCTTTGCTGTTTCTGCGCTGCCGTGGTGCCAAGGACATCTCAGGGACAGGAGGAAGCAGCAGGAAGCTCAAAGAGTTCAGACACTATTCCAGATGAATCCTCAGTTATCTGTTTCTCGCTCCAGCTCACCCCAAAGATGCCTCCTAATGCCCCAGCGACTCCCATCAGGATCCTTCACAGCTCTGCAGAAAAATGCTTCATTCACAGCTTCTGGACGCAGCCAGAGAAAGGCTCAAAGTGCACATCCCACGGCTCGGCGAGACCCACATCACCACAGTGAGTACCTTTGGTCCATGGACTGCTGCAACCGTCACAGCAACGGCTCTGCCTCCTTCCTTCCTTATCACAGGGGTGCAGGGGACTCATCCAGTGTTTGCTACAGGAACGATGCCTGAGGAGCAGCAGCCGTTCCCTTTGGCAGAAAGCTCCACGCCACCCAAATCGCTCACATGCTCTTCCCAAGCACGCAGGAGCAACCCTGCAAATCCAGTCGCAAAGCTCAGCTGCCCAAGATCAGGTTTGGTCCTCTTCTCTCAAAGCTTAGGAAGCTGGGAGCTGTGCAGCTGCCCGTCCTTCAGAGCTCCGTGGTCCCCAGAGGTTACCCCACGAGGCTGCACGTTGTTGGGGCTCAGTTTGCCTCCCCTTTCCATGAGGACCAAGGAACAGTCTTGCCTGGAGCAGATGATCTTCCTTAGAGAGTCCCCTTCAGTCTCACTGTGTCCCCACCTTGAAGTTTCCAAGGGAGGAGAATAAAATTCAGCTGATCATAAGACAGTATTTATCATGCTGAAAATAAAAACCAAACCAACAACAAAAAAAGACATCAAAAATAAAACTTTCCAAAAATCATAAATAGTGCCATGACATTCTTTGTTCTGCGAGGAGTTGGCGCTGGGCTCAGCTGTCTCCAAGGCCCCTCTCCCTCAGCCGGGGCTGTCGCTCCCGTTCTGCTGTGCTTCTTAGGAGCCTTGAACCCTCTTCTCTGTACAAAAGAGCTTGAGAGCAGAAGCGGCACCGCAAAAGCGGGCTTCGCCATCGCGTGCCTCCTTCCCACCACAGCCCGACTCAGGCTACAGGATGGCAACAATCCAATTCCTAATGGGAAAGAGAGGGAAAAGGGATCAACCACCCCGCTTGATGCAGTGGATCTGCCCCAGACCGCGGCCGCTTTGGCACGAGAGCGAGCGCGGGCTTGTGTGGGCACAAATATGCACAAGAAAGCAGCAGGAGCAGCCTTGTTCCCCTCCCCAAGGAAAGCTGGGCAGTGGTAAAAGGCCATGGGGTGAACAGCCATGGCTCTTCGGGAGGCTTTTGTGTTTTCTTTGTAATCAGAGCGATTCACGGGATGAGGCACGGACCAGTGACACTCACGTACCATCAATGACAGCAACAAGACGGGCGAGGCAGCCTCGCTACGTGGAGGACTCTGTCTCCTGCTTCTGTTTGGAGATGAGCTGAGCCTCCTTCAGCGACAGATACACCTCCTCCTGCGGGTCGTAGTAGTAGAACTTGCGGATGTAGGAGATCAGGGGCCTGGGGAAGGACCGGGCAGAAGCTTTAACCCCGAGCCACAACCACACCAACAAAAGATACCCAGAACTGATCCCCCAGCAGAAACAGGAGTCTTTACCCCAAGACTGGGGTACCAGCAGGTAACACCTCACCCCTGAGCTGGTCACCACTCCTCCATGCACCCCAACACACCACAGGACATTTATTGTGCTGTCCCAAGGCTGAAGAAGTCAACTATGCCCCCCCAGACCCATTGCAGCAGATACAGACACCTCCTCACTGCCTACAGCGACGAGGAGCAAGGAGGAAACCAGAGACCCAGCCCCGGGGCAGTCCTCGAGACTCACTTGGGCAGCGGGAGCTCAGGGATGTGGTCGATTCGGACCAACTGCCTGATCCGGAAGCGGCAAAGGTGCTGAAGGGATTTGACATTGCTGAACCTGGAGACTGGGTACAAGAGCTGGACGGGCGTTGGAGGGAGACCTTTGGAGAAAAGAAAGCAATACTGGGGATAAGTGTTCTGTTAGAAAGGAAGCGGTAGTGATGCAGGAAGGAAAAGCTGGCTCTCGGGAAGCTGAGCTCTCTTTGAGGCCGTGTTCGATAGCATCTCCCCAGGACCCCGCTGCTTCAAAGCTGCTTGGGACCAGGGAGCCAAACCTTCCCCCTTTGGCTGCAAAACACCTCCAGCCTTCCTCACAAGGTTCTGGCAGCATGGGGTGACTGTGGAAAAGCAGATCCTGGGACACTGCGAGCTCCTAACCATGCCCCTCACCCAGGAATTATCAGATGAAGCATCGCTTCAGGGTATTGAAAGGATGCAGAAGACAGCCAAAGGAGAAGGCAGGCAGCATGACCGGCACGTAGGCTTTGCTCTGCGAAACCCTTTGGGTACTTCTAGCGAGGCGTTAAAAGGCTGAAGGCTTTGGTCAGCTCAAGCTGTGCCAGAGCTGCTCATTCCTGGGGTCACGAGGCCGGGCACAAAGGCAGAGGCGGTGGCAGCGTTGCTCGAGCCAGCGCCCCACGCAGGGAGCAGCATCGCGAGGCTGAGAGCGTCCAACCACCCCCTGCACCACAACCTCTTCCTCCCTCAAACTGAAGAGCAACCATCGAGCCCACAGAACCAAGAGGTCGGCGGGAGCACCAGGAATGATCTTTGGGAGCTGGGCTCGTTCGCAGCACAAGGTTTTATCTGTCTTTGCAGGAGGATTCAAAGCCAGTTACACTCTAACTCCCTCTCGCTGGCTCGTCTCTGAGGGCAGCGGAGTGAAAGGAAAAGAGGGAAAGCTCTTCACAGTAAGATGGGCTCAAAACTGCTCCAGGCAGCTCAGGAAGCTGTGAGCCAGCTTTTGAGACAGCAGAGAACAGCCATCAATTGAAGGCTGGGTTCTCCCACCCCCCCCATCCTCCTTATTCTCCTACCAAAAAGGAATTGGCCTCTGGGAGCTCAGCCAGCGACGAGGGGCACGCAGCACGAGCTGTGCCAGATGCGAGCTGGGAACAGCCCCCTCCTCCGAGCAGCACCGCGCATTTCGCCAGAACGGCACTAACGAGCACTCTGGGGAGATGCAGATCCTAAATCTTCTCCCACTGAAACGATCACGCAACAGCGTGAGACTTTGTTTTTCAAGGATCAAGGCACAGCAGCTCTGAGAAGCACCCAGGTCCAATGCTGCACCCAGCTGGAGAGGTGCAGGACCCAGAGCCAGCAGCACAGAGCAGGGACCAGGCAGCCAAGGACTCCTTGCAGGTGCACAGCGCTGTTTAGGGGGGGATTTTCTTTTTAGATGATATTTTTCTAGAGCAAGTCCTTTCAGAGGTATTTGCCTGGAGTTCTAAGCCCACAAAGCTCTATTCTCCAGGGGGAGAGATCTCAGGATTAGGAAGGTAAAGTATGTTTAAGTTGAAAGGATTTTTTGAAGGTAGGATACACTGCAAAACCAGCTTTACATCCCTCTCCTCCCCGAAGCGTGGCTGTGTTATAAATCAGCTTTGCAGTTATTGGCGGTGTCTGCAGCAGAGGGCAACACTGAACAGATCTGGGCTGTGACTCCAGTGCTCCAAAAAGAGACCCTGAGGAGGGGACATCCCACTCCTGCTCCCCACTCTCCAGCCTCTTCTAGACCAGAAACTCCTTGGGATGAATCCTCTCCGTGCTGCAGCGCCATGGAGAGGTCGCTGTCGCCATCAGGGCCTGCAGGCACAATGGCAGCACAGATAGGGAGCAAATTTATTAGAATTTCACTTGCAGGTTTACTGCAGCAACCCTCACACTGTCCTGCCCCTCTCTGCTTCACTGCCACCACCCTCCTCACCACAGCAGCACTCCCATCCCTGCTCATTTTGTTCAAAGCATCCCCGCTTGCTCACCCTCCAAATTCTGTCCCCGTCCTTGCTCTCTTGCAAGTAAGGGGCATATTTCCCTATTTGGCAGGCTCGCCCCTTCCTTTCACATTGGATTTTTTGGCTAGCTTTCTGGTACACCAGGGTAGACGAGCCAAAACCAGAAGAAAGTTAAATACAGAAGATACTGGTCCAGTCGCCTGCCTGGATTCAGCTGGAGGGAGATGTGAGCCCACTGAACGAACCAGAGTCTGAAGGATGGGGAAAGAAGCCCTGTGCAATCCCAACAGCAGGCAATCAAACGTGCTCCAACAACGCCGTGCTAAACACTCCCTCTTTGCCTGCAAGCACCTGCCTGTCGATGGGCTCTGGCACGACAGCCCCCCCAAGGACTCCGAATCCATGGTATCCATCGCTCCAGGCTCTCTTTGAGCTCCCACATGCTCAGCTCAGTGTCCCTGCCCTCCACAGCCCCAGGTGGGTCACAGCTAAGGGAGAGCTGGGAAACTGCAGAGCATGGAGTGGGGCTTAATAACAGCAGTACTGAGACTGTGGGAGGGGAGAAAGCAGAGTTATAGCAGTCAAATAATTAGTTGAGGGAGTAGCTTTCCAGTCTGCAGCTCTATTTATTGTAGTGTGAGATGATACCACGTTTATCCTGGAAAGGTTTGGGAAGTCTCCTTACCACCACGAGTAAGTGCTGCAGCTGCTGAGTGAGAGATCTGCTCCTCCCGAGAAGTCAGCAGGCAAGGATGCAGACCAGAGCCACATTAATGGGCTCTCTAGGGCAGACCAGCAGCAAACCACAGAGCAAATCAGCCTCCAGACTCACCTGGAACCCTGGATCGGAGGAAGTAGAGAAATTTCCCGTTTTTTGAGTGCATGATGGCTCTCTTGATGAACTCCACCACAGACTGGCAGCGGTCTTCAAACTTGGGATGGCACCACAGGCTGAAGGTCCCTTCCAAGAGAACAGGACAGATTTCACATTACAGGAGCACTGGTGGCAAGAGGAGACATTTAATCACGAGTCTGACGTTCTCAAAGACCAGGGGAGCATCCCAGGCTGACTTCTGCAGATGGGGCAAAGCAGGCTGCTAAGAGGAAGAACCAGTGGCACCAGCTTGCAAAGATGCTGCTCCACTGGGACCAGCGCTCTCCAAGAGCTGAGGATACACAGAAAGCCACAACACCACGGCCACTGTAACCCAAGCGTGGCCACAAGGCAGGGGGGAGGTTTACAAGTTCAGGCAAGCAACGACTGCTGGGTCTAAGTTATCTAAACTATCAAAACATAACTTTAAACAGACGCCCCTGCTCCTCCCAAGTATCCCATCACCAGCACTCTCAAAGAAAGGCAGTGGAGCCCACACTGAAAACAGCGATCCAGGCGCTGGAGTCCTCATCTGCCAGCCCCAAGGCTGACACGGGTCACTTATTTCCAAGCAGGCATGGGAAGCTGTTTCAAACACCTTCACTCAAGTTACTGTCAAGCAGAACCAGGGTCAAGAGGCACCAACACGGCTCCCCCGTGCTGTTATCCAACACGAGGGATGCGCTGAGCTCGAGTGGCAAACAGTGACACTGGAGATGGGCCATGCAGGGACAGCAGGCCCTCTAACCTGCTCACGGATCTCTAAATAGGTTAAGCTGAAGCTTCAAGTCAGACCAATCTCAATCTCTTAGTGCTGCAACCAGACATCCCCTCCTTGCACCAAAATGCAGCTGTTTATCACCCCTTTTACTTGCCAAAACGCTGCCTGCATCCCCCACCTTCCCCTCTGGATCTCCCTTTACCTGCAGATCTGTCGATGTCCCAGCAAGAGCCACCACAGAGCAGAGCTTCACCAGGATGAGGAAAATAGGGAAAAAAGGGCTCTGCTCAGGACGGAGCCCATCAGGAGCCAGACTCATGTCTAGGGGGGAGCAGTGGCCAGCTGGAGGTGTGTGACAGCGCTGATCTGCACAAGCACTGTAACCCACGTAAAGAACTTATGCTAAGGAGAAGGGGTACCCAAACCAGAGGTATCTGGCACATATTTCAGGCCAGGGACTTTTTGGAGGAGCAGCTTTGCCAGCAGCATCACTGGCTCTTGAAAGCGGCCAGGAGATGCAAAGGACAAAGCATGCAGCCTTCCCAGCCCACCTAAAAAAAGACAAAGAAACTCCACTTTCTTCCTCTCATCTCCCTGAAACCTGAAGGTCAAGGATTTCTCTCTTAACCGTTCCCCCAGCCTCACCATTTGTCATCTTCATGGGTTTATCAAAGTGCTCGGGTCTGCAGTTTTCCACGCTGCCGCAGCACACTCAGCACAAGGCAGTCGGTCCTGGGGGGAGCGCGGGGCTGCCGACGCAGACCAAAGCGCTACACCCAAAAATGAAGCCCCTGATGCGGTGCCATGGCTGGAAATGCTGCTCTAGGGAAGGTGGCAGCTCCAACCTCCATCCATGCAGCAAGAAGAGACAGCTTGAGGAGAGGGAAAGACATCTGGCCAAGGGAGTACTGAGAATGGGCATAAATAAGAAACAAGATCGGCAGAAAGAGAAGTTCGCTCCAAAACTCAATTACAAGAAAAGCATCTGCTGTACAGGCAGCCTCACATCTCCAGTTGAATTGCTGCTTGTAGTTTCTACAAGGACGGGGTGATGAAAATCCTTCTTACACAGTGGTGAAGGACAGGGGAACGGGCTCTAGATGGGCTGGAATTAAATTTTGGGGCACCTTCCCATCAGCAGGGCTCAAGACCAGAAGCGCTGCCAGCTTTCACCAGCAGCAGTGGCAGATGACAACAGCGGCATCCCCATGGCAAGGGTAAAATGGAAAAAAAGAGCAGCTTTGCTCTGAAAGGCTGCAAACCACTGCTTTCTGCAGCAGGCTGGCCGGGCAGCCTCTGAACACAGCATTTGCAGGAGTATTTCATGACAAGGCTCCATGGGTAGCTGTTATTAAAGCTTGCCCACTGGTTACAGGGCAGCTCCTCTGCCATGCACCGAGCCTGTGTCCTTGGCCTGAGGACCACGGTTTGCACAAGGGCTCGGTGCAGAAAACCACACGCGAAGACAAGCGGACAAAGCACGGGGGCGAGGTGAGAAGCCACCCGTGCAGAAAGAAAGGGCACAAAGAGTGAAAGAGGAGTTCTTGAAACAAAACCCCACCACGGTAGAACTGACACCTCAGCTTGAAGTGGGTACCACTGCTGAGCACCCTGCACATGGGGGAGAACAAGGCGAGGTGACAAACCATGACATCAAGAGCTCCCTTCTCATTTCACAGGGAAACAAGCTTCATTTTGGGAAGCACTGACAGCTATGAGTGATGGCTCTTGCTGTACATCTCATCTCAGAAACCTTGCCATCACCACTTTCTTTGAGTCTGGGCCAGGCACAGAGAACTTTTCCCCAGTTCTTCAGAGTTACAAGGAGAATTGCTGCTTGAGGCATAAACAGCAAAGTCAAATGCAGCCTCTAAGACCTCTCGCCAAACCTCAACACGTTGCTGCTGCTCCCTCTCTGCACCATTTTGGGACCTGGTGATCAGCCTGGTCCTCAGAACTGCCCGTGGCTCTCACCTCTGTAGTGCTCCATCCTGGTGTGATGGGTGATGCCCTGCGATCGAAAGCTGAGGCTCAGGATGTAACGAGGGTCGGAGCTGTCTCGAACCAGAAAGGACCCATCCGGCTTCCCCTTCAGCTTCATCTCTGCATCCTCCCAGTTCATTGGTCCCCAGTACCACCCACACTGGGAAAGGAGAAAGCCAGAACGTCAGCAGATGCTAGCAAGGAAGATTTTATCACCAAACAAACACAATACGATTTGATTTTGTTGTTATTTTTCTTTAAATACTAAAATGTCAATGTCTGTGCGCACCCAGGAATGCGGATGGTTGAGACTTGCTGTTCCTGGATGAGATTGTGCCACCGCTTCTTACCATTCAGAAGCGGCAAGAGAACAGATAAGGCTACGACACCTCTTGCATGCACAAGAAAATGCTTGTCTAGACTCAAAGACCCCACTGGCAGAAAGGCAGGAGGGTTTCTTCAACCCTATCCTAATCTTACGGCTCCCACATCAGTAAAAGGGATGATGAGTCCCCAAAACCAGAGCTTAGACCTGCAACCATCATTTTTTTTGGCTGCCACCACCCCCTCCCACGTTTCGTTACCTTCTCCAGCTCTCGCAAGCTGGCTGCGAAGCTGCTGGCGTCGGGGCGGTAGAGGGGACACTGCAGGTGCGGGGCGGGCTGCCCGGGCATCGCCTCCATCGGCCTCAGCGGGACGATGCGTGGGAAGGCGTCTGCAAAGGGAGAAACAGCCCGGGCTGTGGTCACCTACGGGGAGCTCACCCCAAAAAATGAGCCGCCCCGGCCCCCTCGCGCAGCTCCACAGTCAGGGCAGGAGGAGGAAGTGGGCTGAGCGAGGGAAGGACAACGTCCTCAGGAAGGACACAGCAGGAGTCACTGCCTGGCTCGTCCGAGGTGACCAACTCGGTACCTTCACCTGCTATTGCCTTACAACAGCTGGGAGGGAAGGCAAGGGAAGTGCCAGGCAGCACAGACTGGAAGGAGTGAACGCAAATCCTGATAAGAGGGCAGTGAAAGCCCTCTGGGTTCTGAAGGAAACCAAAAGCAAAAGGGTAAACGCCCAGGAAACGTCCTCATGTGCTGCTCAGCTGGTCTGAACAAAGCTGGGGCTCCTGCACTGAACCCTGCTCCCACAGCTCTTTTCCAGCATTGCTGACGCTCGTGAACACGTCATCTGACACAGCGCAAACTGGGGTGCGCTTCTGCTAACCAAAGAAAACTGGAGATGCTGAACTGAGGATAAAGCTGGTGCAATCACAAGCTTCAGTAAAACTGCGGGCAACAAGAGCCACACCACACAGAAACCAGAGCCTTGACACGACAGTGCCTGGGTGCTCAGCAGTGCAGGACCGCACATCCTCGAGCTGTTAAAACCCAGAAGTGCAGCCTTAAAGGTTACCAAGAAAACCCCCAAAGTCCAGATCCCTGGAGGGAAAGCCTTGCTGCTAAAGCTAAGCTGACCTGGGGCATGGGGCGGAGGAGGCGGAGGCAGAGGGAAAGACTGCAGGGAGGAGCCCATTGGACCCACTAGGACAGATGCAGGCAGCGTCCCACTGATATCATCTAGGAGAGAACAGAGGCAAGAAAGATTCAGAAAACAGGAAAGCGAGCGAGCTCTGCACCGGCGAGCGTCTGACAACACAGCCCGAGCAAACCAGCACTCAGCACTGCCCAGAGGAGAGGAGATGGAGCTTCCCAGCAGCAGCTCCCCATCCTCCTCGTGCTTTGGAGGATGCAGAGCAGCTGAGCCAGGCTCCTGGTGCTGCAGCTTCTCAGGGAGCCTCCACTTCCGACTGAGAGCATAGAAGGGAATCGGCCTCACTGGGTGATGGGTATGAAAGGGAAAAGCTTCCAAAAGCAGCAGAAAGGCTCCAAAAGCAGCACGTTACCTCCCACCTTGCATTGTTCCACCACTGCCCTCCCCTTCTGGCTGAGCCAAGGGAAACACTGAAGCTTTCAAGCAGCAAAAATCCTCTGCCAGAGAAGAGTGAGCAGGCACATTATGGTGACCCTCAGAACACTCCTGGCAAAGGCAGAGGGGCAGATCCTATGCTTCTGTAGAGCTGCATGGTCAAGGATGCTCCCAGGATGGTACCTAAGAGGCTGAGGCTTCTTCGTGGCGGAGGCGGCGGCGTCGGAGGGTGAGGGGAGGTCAGTCCTCGCTGCGAGATGTCCACGTCCACCAGCGACACCGTTTCACCTGAGGGTTGCGGAGCAAGACCGTTAGCATGGCACCTCCTCTGGGGCATGCAGAGGCCGAGAGTGGGGAGAGGGGAAGGGGCAGTGACCTCTGCAGGGTTTGGAAGAGCATCTCAGGTGTTTCCAAAGGGATTTTCCCTGCTGCAGTGCTTTGGAGACACTGATCAGCTCTGCCACAGCAGTCCAAAAGTTGGGCAGAGGAGAATGACCCCCATGCACATCCCTGAGCCCCCTCTCATCTCTGAGCCCCAGACCAGGAGGACATGATGAGGAAACCACTGCGAGACCTTTTCAGCACCCAGGTCAGGAAAGGAGGGAGCTGGACAAGCTTTTACATTAAGTAACTGGAATTCACTGAAGCCTGAAGGCTTTTTGGGTGCAGGATACTGCTTGGGGAAAATAATGACACGGACTGTCTAACTTCAACCCAGAAAAGCTTAAAATCAGTCTAAAATCATGGGAGAGAAATGAAGCCATCAGACCAAGGTCAAAGTGTCAGCCTCAGCACTGGACTGATATGGAGTCAAAAGGAAAACACTGAAATCCCAAAGAGAGACCCTAAGTGGTGCTACCACAGCTAAGGCACTTTTATCCCCCCCAAAAACAAAAATCAGTCTCACCAGGCTCTGATGAAGCAAAACCAAACTATCCCAAACACCTGAACCATGGTCTCAAGGACAACACAATTTGGCTGCCTTAAATTTCAATTCTTGCAGGCAGGGAACTCCTCTTCTGCCCCAGATACAGCACCCGGTGTCACCCACCCCGTGGCAAGCACCCGATGATGTATTTACCTGCGTTACACAGGGCAATACTGACTCAGCTCCCTCCTGCCTTTAAAAGCCCTGTTTATTAATAAGCAATGGCACGAGGCGTATTTAGGGTTGGTTATTATCGAGGCACCTTCTCCTTGGGGGACTCGTGGGTGTGAGCGTGCACGCAGCCACGCTGTCATTTCCACACCCCGCAACGAAGCGGCTGGGCTGCATTCATTTCAGACAAGCAAAAAGACAACCCAAGAGGGGTTGCAATAATTCAGGGTTTTGGGAAGAGCAAGGACACCCTTATGAGGAGCGGCTGAGGGAACCGGGCTTGTTTAGCCTGGAGAAGAGAAGGCTGAGGGGAGACCTCATCACCACCTACAACTGCCTCAAGGGAGCTTGTAGAGAGGTGGGTGCTGGTCTCTTCTCCCAGGTGATGGGGGATAGAACAAGGGGAAACGGCACCAAGCTGTGCCAAGGGAGGTTCAGGTTAGAGATAAGGAGGAAGTTCTTTACTGAGAGGGTCGTCAGAGGCTGGAACAGGCTGCCCAGGGAGGTGGTGGAGTCACCATCCCTGGATGTGTTTAAAGAGCGGGTAGACGAGGTACTTAAGGATATGGTTTAGTGGGTAGACAGGAGTGGTTGGACGTGATGATCTCAGAGGGCTTTTCCAACCGAGCCATTCTGTGATTCTGTGACAGCCTTCCCCAAAACCTTGGTTTGTCCCATGCATTATCCTGAAGGCAAATCACCAAGAAAACCACATGGAATTGTGCCCTGCTCTGCTGGTCTCGGTCTCAGCAAATCCCCTCCACAGCAGCCGTTAAAGAAACCGAGACCTCAGCAGCGTAAGACTGGAGGAGTCAACACAAATTAAAGCAATTCAAATCCAGATATTTGCTTTGGGGACACCTCCACGGTCTTCTGCAAAGGAAAAGCTTCTGCAAGGACATCGGCAGTATTCCACCAACAGGCAAAAATCGGCATAAGTCATTTTAAAAAGAGTTAAGAGGATCAACTAACAATTAATCAAGTACAATTCCCAAATCTAAAGCAAAAACTTGTCAACTCCAGGCTCTCCTCTGCAGTGTCTTTTGAGGAAAAGCAGCTCTGCACACACAGCCACGTGCTCCCCTCACCAGCACACAGAATTAGGGGTTTTATCCTCACAACCTCCCCCAGCAACAGCTGACAACGCAGCGGGAGCAGCTCTTCCTTTCGCCAGCCTTGATTTGCTCAGGAAACACGCACGATGCTCACGGGAAGGCAGCGGCATCGCGCGAGGAGCTCGTCCCCTGCATCACGGCATGGGCTGAAGGGATGTGGGGACCAAGAGGAGAACAAGCAGCGCCAGAGCCAAGTTTCCCATGAGTGACTCTGCTTCTGCAGGAGCCAAATGAGCCGCCAGGACCCGCAGGAGCAGATCAGCAGCTTCCAGTTAGGAGTTTTGGGCAATTCAAATGAATGCTGTGCCTTGAAGGTCACTTCTCTGACATTTAAACCAGTTTTTGGTATGATCTCGCCGCTGCTCTCCAAAGGGGACTCAGGAGCACAAACCACACACCAGTGCTGAGCCCAAACACCGACACCACAGCGAGGGGAAGCTCTCGGCTCTTTCCAATGCAGCTATCACCACAATTGCATTTTAATTCCTTTGCTGTGCACTAAGGCCCTCAACGTGAATTTATTTGGAACCTGACCTTCATAATGAGCCACGTAAAACCCCACACAGCTGATAAAGGCTCACATGGGACCTCAGATTCGTACTCACGCAACCCTTGAGACGGGAATTCTACCATGGGAGCCCCAAGCCCTGTAGCCAGGACTGTTCTGACTACGAGCCCACACCACAAGAGGCACATGATGAGCAGTTTTCAGCACCACAGCATTTAGCTACCAGCAGAGCAGGACTTCCCCCTCGCACTGTTTATAACCCAGCCAATTTCCTCCACCCCCAGCAGAAAAGGGAAGCTCAGAAACCAGCAGGACATGGGGAGAGGGAGGGAAACTTGCAGAAGGCAGTGCTCTGCTACAGAGGTTTCAATTCCCACAGCTGTCATGCAGCAGAGCCACTGATGCTGTGGGTCCAGGTGGGAAGTGGGGCTTGGTCTTAGCCCCCCACAAACCACAGGAGGGGAGCACCAAACTGCATTTTGTCTATAGGGGATTTTTCCAACCATCTGGATGCAAACAGCCCTACGTGGAGGAAGGACCTTTGCCTCCAAGAGAGCAACTCAAATTTGAGTTTCAACAGGAATTGCAAAACGCTGATGTGCAACAGCCACGTTCACTACAGTTCCTCTCGTCCAGCATTTGAGGCCAAGCAGGACTGAGGGACCCTTCAGAGAGATCCCCATTTGCACACCGAGGCAGCGCTCAGTGCCTGTGCTGCTCTTTACGTGGCAAAATGAAACACCGTGCTGCAAATCTTCCAAAGCCTTACCTGTGAAGAGGGGGCTGAACACAACCGGGGAAAAGGCACTTTGAGTTCTCGTCAGTCTGTGTTTCCTATGGGAAATTTAAAAAAAAACCAACACTGTTAGGAGAGATGAGGAGACTCAGTGCATCCCATCAGAAGAAAACACCCATTTTTTCTCTTCTCAGACCAGGAAAGCCTTCCCAATTCTTTACAGAAGCTCGAGACAGCTCAACGCTGCGTGTTTATTCGACTCCTAGAGCAGCGCTTGGGCTTAAGTAGGGCAGTCAAGCAGTAAAGCTGGGTCTCTGTCCTGCTCCAAAGCAAATCGCTAACTAGGTAATTAATAAAGTCTTTGGAAAGAAAAACCCCAAGCAAGTATGGCAACCGGAGCCAAGCAGCTGTTTCACAACAGACGCTGCTGCTCTGGAGCAGGCATTGCCAAACGCCTTGGACAAACAGGTTGGGCCCCTGCGCAATTCGAGGCTGTGCCTGGAGCGAGTGCGTTGAGTTTGGAGGACACCGGCTCCCCAGAGGGTTTCAAAATGCAGGTGAAGGGTAGGGAGTTAAACCCAGAGCCGCCAAAATGGATGGAAAGAGCTAAAAACGCAGCTCTGGTGAGGACCTGGGAATAGCAGCGATCCCCAGGAAGTCTGCTGTCCAAACCAGCAGTTTTACAACCTTGAGCCCGTCCTGTCCTTCAGCTCCCAGCTCTGCTCGCAGCCTCCTGCAAAGCCAGGACAGATAAAACCAGCTCCAGGCATGGGCTGCACCAAGCAGATGCAACTCCACCAGCCCACAGCAAGAAGAAACCCAAGCTCTGGTCTCAGATCACTGAAGAGCAGAGCAGATGGGGGCACCCTCATCTTCTCACAGGGCACAGCAAATGCTCCTCCTCCTGTGTGTCCAGACACATCACTGGGTCACGCAGCACAGGGCAGAGCAAATGCTCCTCCTCTTTGTGTCCAGACACATCACTGGGTCACGCAGCTGTGAATAAACATTTAACACTACAAGTTCACAGATAAAGATACTAAGACACATCAAATCCCATTGAAACGCTTGGAAGTGTTTCTATTTTAAGCCTCTTGCACCTATTCAAGGGTTGGATTTTTTTCCCCGAAGGAGAAAATTCACCAATTATCAGCCACGCACGCACACACAAAACTACACTTGTGGACTAATATCAACGAACCCTCCAATATAGTAACAGCTCTGCGCCCACCCGCTACACCAGACGGAAAGGAGCATTGCTGGCATTTTGCTGTTACCAAAACAGCTACGCTTTATGCCAACGTTTTACAGCCATTGATTTTTGGGAGACTTCTCGTTTCAGGCAAGATCACAGCAGCAGCAGCAGGATGAGAGCACGGACACCTTCTGCAGGGATTTGTGCACACCCAGAATTGGGAAATCCCTCGAGCTGCAGCAAACAGGGATTTGTAGGGGCAGTTACCCATCAGTTTGGCAACTGCCTTAGTGGCCAGCACTTCCCACGACGCTGCCTTTGCTTGTCCTGTTAACACTAAGGCAAGTCTTACCTGGCCTGATTGTGTGCTACTTTATGCAGTTAATAATGCAGAAACATGCTAAAAAGATACTAATTTTTATACAGGATCTGGCTACCAACCTGGCAGCTGCAGCTCAGGTGTGCCTGCACCCCTCCATCACAATCCAAGTGCCTAACGCCATCCCCTTTCCTTCCCATTCCCTGAGGTACAAACCGCTTCTAAAAAAGAGCATTTTCACTGATGCAACCTTTAAACATCAACACCCCGGCCCTGGGTGAGAAGCTGCGTATTGGTACATCCACATTTGGTTTCTTAGCCTCTCGCAGCTCAGCAGAGCCCAACTGTTGACGTGGGATAACGGCGCTGCTTTCCTTAACTGCTGCAGGCGGGAGGCAGAGCTGCACTGTGCCACCTCCGGGACCGGCAGCACCATGGGAAGCTTGGGCAGCAACTCCAAATACCAGGGATTCTGCTCATTTCAGATGTTTATAAAAAGAGCCGGACAAGACAGCACCCACCAAGGAGCACCCTTCAGCCAGCCCACAGAGACTTGCAAGTCAGGAACAAGAGCTCGGTATCAAGCAGAGCCGTGAATAGACCCAAAAGTGTCTCTGAGCCCACTTCATCAGCCACGAGTGACCACAGAAACAACTTACAGTGAACACCAGATCCACGCTGCACTAATGGGGGTCACAGATTGGGAGGCAACACCCTCCAGCTCTTAGTACAACCACGGGAAGCTTTATTTTTCCTCCCACTCAAGCAAGGAGGATGGGTGCAGAGTAGCAGACGGCATTGACGAGGGTGGCATTAATCCAGCAAAGACCACAGCAGAAAATCAAGTCATCGTACGATTTATCTCTGAACTGCAGGACCAGGGCAACCAGGAAAGGGGAGGAAAATAAAGCAGCATCTGCTGAGGCCAAATATACACCTTCCAGGAAGCCCAGCTTAGCTAAACTGTGTCTAACCTGCTCAAGAGTTAACATCCCAGCATCCCAAACTGATGGGAGCGGGGCCAGCAAGGACCATCCCACCAACATGCAGCTTCCCATGAGGAGAGACCAGCACCGAGCACACCCACTCTGCACCCTACATCCCCTCAGCATGGGAGCTGTGCTCCCCAGAGCAAAAACCTTCACCCAAATAACCCAGCCCTCACCAGCAACTCTGGCCTCCTGGAACTGGAAGCAGCAAAATCATCCCTGAGCCACTGGAGTTGCTGCATCAGGCACCTTGAAGTAACCTTTGTTAAAATACCACCTAATTAGCATGGTGGAGCTGAACGAGAAGTGACCATGAAGACCCGGGTAGTGAAATGGTGCTTTTCTGCTCCTAAACTGCTAAGACATCACTGCCAAACCGCCAGATCTCAGCGCTGGGAGGTCCTGAGCGCTCCTTGCTCTCAATAAACCACAAGCCCATGAGCAAAGCACAATGTCCTCACAGGCAACTGGGCTCGCTACCCTTTGAGGCCCATTTAGTCACTTGTGGGGAACGAAGCCATCGTAGAAAACTGCTTCACCACCCCACATGCAAACACAAGGCTCCTCGGGGGCACGCAGGACTCGCACACCCCAACCAGCCCTGGGAGCTGGGGCTGCCCCATCTCCAAAGCCATCCTCTGCTTCAAAGGGGACGTAATTTTGGCCTCTGTTGCAGCTTGGCTGCACTTTGGACTGCCAAGGTGCCCGGCCACAGGGCAGTGCTGTGGGTCACACCGATCCAAGGTCAGCATCTTTTGAGAAAGCCTGGAGAAAGTCTCCTGCTCACCCACAAACGGGTCCTCAGCTGCACCGAGGTGGCAAAACACCCCAAAAACCTGGCACAAGGTTAATTAACCTCCCTGGAAAAGGATTGTGCTGCAATACTCAGAGCCCATTCAATTATTTAATGCTGCTCCTGGGGCTGGAGGGGTCTGGGCAAGCTCTCCCTGCCTTCTCCATGAGGGATTTGGGTTCTGCTGCTGGAAATGCTACAGAAAGGGCTTTCATGGGACCCTGACTCAAGGCTGTGCAGCAGGTACAGATCAGCTGGAGCTGGGCTGAGGAACATGGGGGTGTGTGGGGTCTCACACCAACAGGTCCTAGGAGTTGTCCCCCAGCCAAACGCACGACCCAACCTCTGGCTGCCAATGTTTCCTCTGGCCGCATCCTCCCATGGAGCACAGGGGGAGCAGAGCCCCCGCAGCAGCACCCATGACCAACAAGGCTGGAGCCCAACTGCGACGCTCACAAGCCTCAGGAAATCATTCTGCAAGACACGGGAGGGTGAGAGGAAACGCCAGCCCCGTGGGACACGGTGCAGCATCACCCGGGGCACACCACTTCCTCGCTCAGCCGTGCCTGCATCCCAAGGCTCCTCCGAGCCCCCTCACCAGTCTCACTCTGGGACATTTTTCCACCATCCCCTTGGTGGATGCAGAGCCCAGAGGGGCACATTTCTCCTCCACCTGCCTCTCCGGGCGTCCAGACTTCCCCGCCAGCCCTGTGTGAAAGACAAGGCCTTGGAAGAGGCCTGAGCCCGCCTCAGAGCCAGCAGACGGCCACGGTGTCCATCTGCGGGGTGGCATCCACACCTCGTGGTCATCCTCCACCTCCAGCAAGGTGTCACAGCACTGGCACCCCTTCTCCCCCCGTGCTGTGGGACCACACCATCACACCCCCGGCTCCCATACCGGTGACAGCTACAAGATCTCACGGCTGCTCCCCACAACCCCCTTCTGCCACCCTAAAACCACCACC